ATTTGGATGGTTAAAAATATGAAATTTCAGAATGTACGAGTATACAAATGTGGGAATGTGAAAATCTGGGAATGTGTGAAATTGGTAATTTGATTATGTGTGAATGTGAAAATGTGAGAATGTGGGAATGTAGGAAATTGGTAATTTGATTATGTGGGAATGTAGGAATTTGGGATTGTGGGAAATTTGGGAGTGTAGAAATGTGGTAATGCGGGAATGTAGGAATGTTGGAATATGAGAGTGTGGGAACGTGGGAATGTGGGAATGTAGGAAATTGGTAATTTGATTATGTGGGAATGTAGGAAATTTGGGAGTGTAGAAATGTGGGAATGTGGAAATGTGGGAATGTGAGAAATTGGAAATTTAAGAATTTGGAACTTTAGAAATTTGGAAATTTGGAAATTTGGAAATTTAGGAATTTGGAAATTTAGGAATTTGGAAATTTGGAAATTTGGAAATTTAGGAATTTGAAAATTTAGGAATTTGGAAATTTGGAAATTTGGAAATTTAGGAATTTGAAAATTTAGGAATTTGGAAATTTGGAAATTTGGAAATTTAGGAATTTGAAAATTTAGGAATTTGGAAATTTGGAAATTTGGAAATTTAGGAATTTGAAAATTTAGGAATTTGGAAATTTGGAAATTTGGAAATTTAGGAATTTGAAAATTTAGGAATTTGGAAATTTGGAAATTTGGAAATTTAGGAATTTGAAAATTTAGGAATTTGGAAATTTGGAAATTTGGAAATTTAGGAATTTGAAAATTTAGGAATTTGGAAATTTGGAAATTTGGAAATTTGGAAATTTGGAAATTTGGAAATTTGGAAATTTAGGAATTTGGAACTTTAGAAATTTAGGAATTTGGAACTTTAGAAATTTGGAAATTTGGAAATTTAGGAATTTGGAACTTCAGAAATTTGGAAATTTGAGAATTTGATAGCTTGATAATTTGGTAACTTGGTAATTTGGAAATTGGAAAATTTAGTAATTAAAAAACTTGAGAATATTTAAAAATTAAAAAATTTGAAAATTTGCTCTCTCATACCACATGTGAGTCAATCCGCATTTTAAGGGAAAGCCCTAATCCTCGCTTTCGCCAATAACAAGGAACTGAAAGCATTGTACATTCTACAAGAATCGATTTGCGACAGGCGTTAATGTAACGGATTAACGATGCATTTACTAACTTAAGGATACACGTAATATTCGAAGATTATACCTAATCTCTTTACGACATCGAGCTTACATCGAAAAGAGTGGCGACATTTCAAAATGAAAGCGTAAATGAAATCTCCCGTGATAAAGCTACCATAAATATTGACGAAGATAACAACTCTGTGTATCCACAAATACAAGTAGGCGCACAAAACACTTTTTATTTACATTTACTTGTACAAGTGATTAATCGGTTAATTTTAATTACCGACTTTCTAAATTATAACTTTTCACTGTATGATCATAATTTTGTACAGTTTAACACTAAACCTACCGCATATGTGTACTTAACTTGAAATTAAAAATGAAGTTAAAAAATAAATAAACAAACGAAACATAAATTAGTACACATATTTATTCTTAATCTTGATGAAAATCAATGCTGATTTCAAGGAACGTACTTTAACAAAATGTGTACCTTATAAAAAGAAACTTGTGGAACGGTTATTTTCGTTTTAGTATTAAAATAAACGAAAATCAAATTCTGTTATGTAATGTAAAAAAAAATGTAGAAATTTGTACATAAGTAATAATTAGTGTAATAATTTGTACATAAGTAATAATTAATGTAATAATTTGTACGTAAGTAATAATTAATGTAACAATTCGCACATAATTCTATGTTACGTTATTGTGCAGAAAATACGATCTGTAATAAACGAATTTCCAACTAACGAGAGCAGGTAGCGAATGCATCGAATATTACAAATCGTTTTTCGTAAGCACACATGTAGTTAGATTTCTGATTTCCGCGAACACCATGCAATGGAAGGAATGGAAAAAGAATTTTAAATTTCAATCAGAAGTTCCCCCTTTGCTTATTTCATAACAGTCTGCTGCAGTTGCATGTTTTATAGGGGTGAATAGCCGCAGAGCAATCGATTTCATGTCTACAAGGGACAAGTGTTATTGCTCTCCCTTGAACATTCTCCTTTGCGATCACTATGCTGTCTTCGTTCAAAGGAAATTGCGTTTTTGTTACTTGATCGATATCACATTTTACGAATTAAAAATGAATTAGAAATCATTAGGGAACTCTACAAGCTTTTTACTATAATTTAGACTAACTCGATGAAATTCAAATTTTAAAGAAATTTTACTATAAAATTAATAAACGGAGAAAAATGATGTTTGTCAACTGTGTTAAGATTTGACAATTAGTCAAATTAAAGGGATTGAATTGAGGTGGATAAGAAAAATTACAAGATCTTCAAATCCCTAAATCTGTCTTTTATACTCCTTTATCCTTGAATCCGCAGGTTGTACATAATATCCGTAAGTTGGTTAGATCCTTGGATCTCCACGTTCCTTATTTACTTTCACGTGTCACCACATTCCTATATTCTTATATTTCCATGTTACTATATACCTGGGTTCACATATCTAAATATTGCCATAACCTTGTGTCCCTACATTCCTTTATTCCCATATCCCTATTTCCTCGCATTCTTTTATTCCCATATCCCTATATCCTCACATTCCTGTATCCCTATATCCCAATATTACCATATCCCTGTATCCCCACGTTCCTTTATTCCCATACCCCTATATCCTCGCATTCTTTTATTCCCACATCCCCGAATCCTCATATCCCTGTATCCCCACATCCCCGTATCCATATATCCCCGTATCCACATATCCCCGTATCCACATATCCCCGTATCCACATATCCCCGTATCCACATATCCCCGTATCCACATATCCCCGTATCCACATATCCCCGTATCCACATATCCCCGTATCCACATATCCCCGTATCCACATATCCCCGTATCCACATATCCCCGTATCCACATATCCCCGTATCCACATATCCCCGTATCCACATATCCCCGTATCCACATATCCCCGTATCCACATATCCCCGTATCCCCACATCTCCTCTCACCATATCCCTGTGTCCCCCTATCCCCATATCCTTGCATCCCAATATTCCTCCAACATCCCTACATATCCTACATCATCATATTTCCATATCCCGAAATCCTCATATACCTGTAACCCCATATATCTACAACCCCATATCCTTATATCCCTACATTCTCAAATCCCTAAATCCTTAAATCCTCATGTACCTAGAGATTCCTACATTTCAGGTATCCCTACATTCTCAATTCTAAATAATTAACTTCACTTTTTATTCGACAATTTCTACCAAGTACATGTCGATTGAGGAATTAATGAATCGCGCTTCGTCCGTGTGAAATTGTATTGAAATTGCGTTACTATAATCGAAATGCTAAGGTCAGTTGTATTTGTGTGATCAATATTTGTCAACATGATTATCGTCAGATAACTGAAATCAATAAAATGATTTACTCGGCGGTTTAGCGTGCCAGTGATTGCTCATTACCATTTGCACAGTATTAATTACAAAATAAAATTCAATAAAATTCAAGTGGAATCCAATTTGAGTATCGGAAAACGGGAGAGACGTCGAAAATTTTTGTGCTAATGTCAATATTTGTTTATGTACACAAGCAGGATATTGGTCTCGTGGATATTTGCTATCGAAATCGACAAAATATCGAAATTATTATTTAGAAAATTTACAAAATTATGGACTCTTATTTCTAGGAACAGTATGTCAAAATTTTTAGCAAGTTGTAATGTACATAATTTTTATCTCAAAAAATCTGAAGCTTCAAGTTTGCACATTATTTGCAAACATAAATCAACGTAAAAATGTTTAAGGAAACGTCAGACAGTTTTACGATATTACAAAAGTGCAAAGAAAATGGTACTCAGTTGCTCACATAGGTGTTAATTTACTGACGCCAATTAGTACCTATCCATCCAAACTCTCAGCGTTCATCCTACCACTTGTACCGATAAAAAAAGATCAAGTCGTCTCAGCATCGATCATCCCAAATCGATCTATCGACAGTTGAAGAGGTTGGCCGGTCACAAATTGCATTCGACATAAGTAGGATTTAGCTGGTGGCGAATCATCGATTTCGCGACGCTGAACTTTCTGTTTCCTGAAAGTGACGCGGATGCGCAGAAACTTTGACGTCAAACTCCGTTCCCGCTAAAGGGACAGGTCCTTTCGACCGCCATGGATATTGATTTTTGCACGGGTTTCGAGGTTTCTAGAGCAGACGCCGATGCGGCGCAGACTCCGGCATGGACAACATGGCGGTTTATCACGCTATGAATCCTAGCGTGTCACGTTTCGATCTCATCTGCTGGTATTTACGAAGATGCAGTCGGTATTCGAGAAACACTGAGCGTTTAATCTAACCGTCCGCAGCCGGGCCTGGTTCACCCTTGAAGATAGACTAACCGGTACATACCAACGCTAAGTCAATTCCGGACACTGTGCGTGTTATTTTTTCGATCCGGTGTTAATGAACTCGGTAGCAAACTAAATTCGAACTATCGGCATCGCGCTTCTTTGGGACACGGCTCTTTTTCTGAACTCTCGATGCTGCTACGTACCGGAGCGGTCCAACGTTCATTCACGAGTGTCACATAACCTTTCCAGCATAATATTTCGTTTTATATAAACAAAAGACACGCGCGCATTTCTTGCAATATTTTTTGTGAAAAAGAGGCCGGAGTCATAGAGAGCTAGTGACCATCTCGTGGACTTCATTGGATAATCAAAGATCGCTTGTGACGTGGGTCGTTTTTGCTAGTTCTTCTCGTATACTATGTTTTTAGTAATTAAATCTGATATTTGTACATCGTATTTCCATTTTATATACGTGTCTTAAGTATCTCATAACTCGGTTCTGCATAGAAGGATTAATCTTGCGCCAAAAGATTGATCTCACAGTAAGATCCAGGACAATTTTATAACAAAGATGACATTGTTGTGTAAATAACGAATTTTTATCTTGATCAAATATCCGAATGTACACCGAATGCTCCCGAAAGTTCTCGAGCATGTCCGGGAAGTTCTAAAACCAGATCACGATGGACTCAGGCCCAGTCAACGCTTATCACACTCTGGCTTCGGACGGTTAACGCGTTAAGTCCCAGATGTTTCATAATCAATCGGTGTTTATAGCGATTTAAAGGCACGCAGTCTGGGAAGTAGATCTGCGTTATCAGGAGCTACGGTTCATCTCAGAATAATTCTACGGCCTCCCGGAACAACGAGTTAATTTTTGGACTCAGAGCAGCGATCTGGAGCGCCATGACCGGCGACACATGTGCCATTGTCACGTGCTTCCTGTTCCTAACGACTATCACACTCGCCAATGGTAAGCTATCTTTTTTATTCTTTCGTTCAAGTACACACTTCCGCTGCTAACTACTGTGTCTGTCAAAATGAATTGAGCTGTACGTTCGCAATGTATGCAAAACTTTTCATTGATTTTCTGTTAAATTGCTACGTGTATTGATGTAATAAATGTTTGTGTATTTCTACATATTACTGATATTATAGTTTGCGTAAAAATACTCAAGTATTAAATGTTAATTGTATAAATTGGAGGTAAATATTAATTGTAGGAAAGTAAATATTAATTTTGAATCTTCCTGTATAATATAAGTATATTCAAATATAGTTAAACTACAAGGATCGTTTTGAATTAAATATTATTCCACAAAAATGAGATTAAATTCTGTATCTTTTTTTTAAAAAAGTATTTTTTGTGCAATGAGATACTAGTTTGATAGAATAATTTCTTTGCAATTAAACATTCTCCACCCGCTTCATTCTTACGAATGACGTCAGATCGTTTGAATACTCAACATTTAATTTTATGGGTCATCTGTAGCATTCGGTCGATTATATACAAAACTTGTTTAAGTTTCTAAATTAATTTAAATCACCATTAGATTACCATCTGTTTTTAGTTGAAAACATCTCGCTGTACCGATAACAGTTCAATAGTTCAAACTTATAAACCTTGTAGTGCATATTTCATCGCACTCTTTTATCCTAGTTGCTGTTTACCATTATTACCTACTTTTTTCTTAAACTTGAAAGAAACTGTAGGATGCCACGAAAACTACATACATAAAAAAGTTGTACGAAAAATGAAGTCAAATCGCTAACGAAGTGAATCGATAAATGAAGTCAATTGGATTCATAAAGATATTAAAAGATTTATATTGCTGGATATCGTTATAAATAAAAAATTACCTAACCTAACGCAATTATCAGGGCAACTGTTATCTACGGAACATCGAACTAACGCAGCATCGGAACGAGTGAACGATCTGTGGTGTTATCATTGTCACACGTCGGACGATGGAGAGAGATGTTCCAATCTGACCGGAAATTACACCGCTTTCGAGCACAAGTGCACTGGTGACAAAAGGACTTGCATGGTAATGACAAAACGATAGCACCGGTTCAAATCTCTGCTGATAACATTGAGGAAACAGCAAACACTTGAATGAACGTAACACGTTATCGCGGAATATCTTGCGAAGTATACCTATCATACATCCATTAGTGTCCCCTTATTTATCTTGTCGCGTTAAAAATGGCTAAGCAAATCAAAACATTGAACCAATCAAATTAGCGGTACACTATTTCAAAGTGTAAATATGTATTTTTTAAGCCATCGTTTTTATAAAGGATATACACTACCGTCCATAAGTATCCGGACACAAGCGAAATATGCATTCGCGTTGCATGAAAGTTATTCAAATATCTACAACAGTAACTAAAATCGATTTTTTTCTGCGAAGGTCAGAATACTGGAACGTTTTTCGATTGATAATTCTCGTTTGGAACTCATATCTCGATGGAAAAGAAGCTACAGACGAACTAAACCGAAACTGTCGAGTGCATTGCGTTACCTCCATTCTTATCTCCATTGAGGGAACCTAAACATCTACCAACAGTTTACAAACACTTGAAACATATCGAAGAACCCTCTGAATACGTTCTGCACCATAGAAATGAAACACAGTAGAAATTAAAATTTTTTTTAGAATCGAAAGCGTTTCATTAGGTTCACAAATTTGGACTTTGTACTTCTGGACATGAATTTTACTTTCACACTTTCATTGTATAATTTGTACTTAAAAATTAATTCTATTACGTTATGACACCTCAAAAAAGATAATAATAATTATTACAAATGATATGATAACCCTAAATACCTTTCGTACAAAGTTCAACTATGTTTTATGTAACTCCATAAGTATCCGGACACAAGCGAAATATGCATTCGCGTTGCATGAAAGTTATTCAAATATCTACAACAGTAACTAAAATCGATTTTTTTCTGCGAAGGTCAGAATACTGGAACGTTTTTCGATTGATAATTCTCGTTTGGAACTCATATCTCGATGGAAAAGAAGCTACAGACGAACTAAACCGAAACTGTCGAGTGCATTGCGTTACCTCCATTCTTATCTCCATTGAGGGAACCTAAACATCTACCAACAGTTTACAAACACTTGAAACATATCGAAGAACCCTCTGAATACGTTCTGCACCATAGAAATGAAACACAGTAGAAATTAAAATTTTTTTTAGAATCGAAAGCGTTTCATTGGATTCACAAATTTGGACTTTGTACTTCTGGACATGAATTTACTTTCACACTTTCATTGTATAATTTGTACTTAAAAATTAATTCTATTACGTTATGACACCTCAAAAAAGATAATAATAATTAGTACAAATGATATGATATCCCTAAATACCTTTCGTACAAAGTTCAACTGTGTTTTATGTAACGAAACCAAGTGTCCGGATACTTATGGACGGTAGTGTATATAAATTTTTCCAATTAAAGTTACCTATAGTTACCTTTAGACGAAAATACTGTGACCTTTTAGAAATTTAAATTTGATAAAATTAATGAGAAATTTAGGAAGGAGTTTAAGGAATGATTAAAATTATTTAATAAGCAACTCTCTTTTTGTAGGTAAAACGATTTTCGTTCACCACAAGTACAGAGGATTCAACTTCCAGTCCTTTGACTTGGTCACTCGAGAGAAATTGTACGAGCAAATGCGAACCTGGATGTATAGTAATCGGTGAACGTACAAAATTATCGGCTTGCACAACTTGTTGCGAACAATCGTTGTGTAACGTCGGTACAGGAGCCAGTAATGACTTGACGATGAAAGGGATCGATGTGTTTCTAGCTTTGTTATTGCAAATCACTTTAACCATCATCATGTATCCCTCGTGATATTGTAAATAAAATGGTAGCCGACCTCGCGTGTAAATAAGTAATTCGGTTTATCGTTCCATTTCGATCTTTCATTCGTTGAATTGAAACGATATTTCGCGTACAATTTACGTTTTGTACATCTTGCTGTAATATACTTACGATAAGTTGTAACATATCTATATCGATAAGTTGTAAAGCATTAATTTAATTTTGTAAAAAGTTACTGTTCATTTTGACGTCATATGTAATTACGGTTATTCTTTTAAAAATAAAAATGATGCTCTAATTGTGGTTCGTTTATTAGAGAGTACCTATCTGCCATTAAGAGATTTCTTAGAAGTCCTCAAATGTCTAGATTCCTCAATTCCTGAATTCTTAATTTCATAAATTTATAAATCTTGAAATTTCTAAATTACTAAATCCCTATATTATCAAGTCTGTGAATAACTAAATTCCTAAATTACACAAGTCTAAAATGCTAAATTCTGAAGTACTAAATCTTTGAAATACCCAATCTTTAAATTTACCAAATCCCTAAATTACCAAATTCCTAAATTACCTAAACTCTAAAATGCCAAATTTCTAAGGTACCAAATCCCTAAATTACCAAATCCCTGTACTACCAAATTCCTAAATTACCTAAACTCTAAAATGCCAAATTTCTAAGGTAACAAATTCCTAAATTACCAAATCCATAAATTACCAAATTCCTAAATTACCTAAACTCTAAAATGCCAAATTTCTAAGGTACCAAATTCCTAAATTACCAAATTCCTAAATGACCAAATTCCTAAATTACCAAATCCCTATATTACCAAATCCTTAAATGACCAAATCCCTAAATCACCAAATCTCTAAATAACCAAATCCGTAAATCACCAAATCCCTAAATCACCAAATTTCTAAATTACCAAATCCCTAAATGACCAAATCCCTAAATTACCAAATCCCTAAATTACCAAATTTCCAACTCAGCAAACTCTTAAATTCACACAAAGAAAGCTCTGCGGCGAGCACTTAACGTACCCATCACTACTTCACCCTTATTCCAACATTTATCAACAATATTTATATAATAAATATAACAATAAATAAATTATTTATCATACCTTTAAATGGAATTCATTTTCATTTTAATACGTTCCTTCAGAAATTTCCTTACAACATTATATTATTATTAATTTATACCCCGTTATATTTTAAAGCAGTTGTAACTTGTATGTCTGCATAACAAAGGGAACATAATTTGTTGCAATTAGTGTCAGAAAAAATATATCGTATACCCAGTTTATACAAGGTCAACTGTTCAAAGTTACGTAGTTTCACACGTTGATACATTTACAGCTGTTCTCAATTGACGAGCATACGTAGTTACACAACGTTAAATGGAATCATTAAGTTAAAGTCGAACAAGCTATTTAACAATGTTGTGGAAATCTACGAGTTAACATGTTCGTAGAAGCTTACTGCAGTCCGATTGACCTTCGTTACGCTTATTTTACTTCAATCATATTTCTATGAAAACTGCGTATATTCTTATTGTATGAAACAGTTTTACACAAAATAAAATATATTTTACTGTCTTTTTATTACCTGCAATTCAAAAACTGCTTTAAACGACGAATAATCTTGTTTGTGTAATACGTACGCAAGACATACAATCAATTATTAACCCCTTGACTTATAATATATTTAAATTAAACTTGTTTAATAAAGTTAAACTTGTGGTACACATTACACTTCACATAGAACAAATCAAAGTCATATTCGCAGATTGAATTTGGAATTTAATGTCAATTACAATTTACATAATCAAGGATCCCTAAATACAAAACATACTTAACAGTTCAATTTTCCTTGTTTGTTTTAACATTGCAATAATGAGCTGCGACTGATGCAACCAAAGAAATGATGGGTAAAGGGGTTATTTTGAATGAAAACTTAAAATTTAACAACTCAATGTACAACCAAAACGATGCTAATTTCAGTTTTTATTAAGAATGACGATCTTCTTTTCCAGAACTCTTAACCTCTTCCCTTGCTCTGACGAGTCTCACTCGTGACGCACTTACAGCTTAAATGTGACAAACCTTCAATACTCTTCAACTTAAAATTTAGGTCCAAGTTGCACTATCAATGCTCCCTGAACTCACATTTTAATTTTCTTCGTTCGTTTTAACGTTATAGTCCTGAATTAGTCTTCACTAACGCATCTGATAAATAAATGGCATAGGTAAGGGGTTAATTTTTCGGTTGCATATTTTCCGGTTATATCACCTCGTATTAACTTCTTTGAACTCCAGCACGCGGTACTTGAATCTCGGCTATTAAGAACGGTCTACGAGCGTTTCTTCCTCCAGTTACGATGTCTGGATTTAATTCTCGCGTATCAGATCCATTACGAGTTCACGGTCAAAGAGAATCGTGGAATTCCGTCGGAGAGCAAAGACGGGATCCTCGTTAACACCGTGGTGGCGGACAATGCGTTCGTAAGCATCCCCGTTTCTCGGTGACGGCACATAAAGTTGCCATTATTAGAACTTCAGTGGGCGGCAAGCGTCGGTGCTTTTACAAGCCTCGTTCGTGCTTACTTTTACTCACAATCGGTCGGTTCACTCGAGTGCTAGCACGCGTTTTGTGCTGCGTTTGTACGCTCATGTGGCTAACAGTCGTAGACCTCGTCGTGCCGTCTCCAACGTTCGGTTCGCGAAATCCAACCCTGTTAAGTGACCTTTAACCCTTTCTGTTGAAAACTGTTGCTGTCGCGTGAAACTGTTAGTGTTTCAAATAAATGTATGCAGAAATTTATGGTGACACTGCGGATCTAAGTGTTTTTAAGCAGTTCGAGGTAAAACTTGTGTCTTTTCAACGTTTCGAGATAAAACTTTAGTGGTTTTTAAGCATTTCGAAGAATTTTAGTGTTTTTTTCTGGGCACTGTAAAACATTTTAGTGTTTCGAGGTGAAACACTTATAGTTTCTTTTAAGCATTTCGTAGTATACCTCTAGTGTTCTTTAACTGAACGTTTTAGTATTTTTTAGACGTTTCAAAGTAAAACATTTTAGTGTTCCTTAAATATTTCATGATAAACCAATAATGTCTCTTAAGCGTTTCGTATTAAAAATAGTGTTCTTGAAGTATTCTGAAGTAAAACATCTCTAGTATTTTCTGAGTATTTCAAGGTAAAAAGCCTTTAGTGTTTTTCAAGTATTTCGCAGTCATTTTGGTGTTTCTTAAGTGTTTTATGGTAAAAAACGTACAATGTCCTTTATGCGTTTTATAGTAAAACATCTTTAGTGTTTTTTATAAATTTAAAAATATAAATATTTCGAGGTAAAACGACTGTAGTGTTAAGTAGCTTTAGTGTTCTTTAAGCATTGAAACGCTTCAATGATTTTAAAATACATTTTAAGTATATTAAATCGGTCTGATATTTTTTTAAGTACTTCGAAGTAAAGAACTTTAGTGTTTCTTTACGATAAATAAGAAAAAAGAACAGTTGTAATGAATTTTCCTCCGTTTGAAAGGCGGCAGTGTTTGATTCTATAACGTTTCAACTGTTTGACTGAAAATGAACTTCCAAGCTCGTTATAAGTACAATACTTTCAGTGTAGTGCATTTAGAATGTTTTCTTGCTTATAATAAATTTTAACGAAGAAACAGGTTAGTTGAACAAGTTTTAAATATACAACTTTATGTATTATGTATGTGAGATTTATGCATACCAAGGAAATGATATAAATACAAAAATTAACTTGAAATAATTATGTAGGCGAGATATGTTTTATATTAAAGAATCTATGTAGTTGAAAAATGACTACAGTGATTTATGTACTTCAAGTGTTTACTAACTGAAACTTAAATATTGATCTTCCAGTGTATAATACACATTTAGTTTGAAATTAAAAATAAAGCTGGAAAAAAAAATATTAGGTTATGTGCATGTTAAAAATGAAATTTTCCCAAGTGTGAAGGAAAGTAAATGATATTACGAATGAGAGTGTGGAACAATTGGATTATGGCAGCTAAAACGACTTATTTTTAAATTCAATTAAAATTTACAAACAACCGGTTGAAATCCATAATGCATACAGTATCATCTGCAAAGCATTAAAAGAAGGTGATAAAAGTTGAAACACTTGGTTTTGTTGTGTAACGTTTCTAATGTTGATTTTAAAACTAATTCAGTGACTCAGTATGCGTCGATTAATTATATAAAAATTTATGTATACAAACCCAGATAGAGAAAATTATAGTACGAAACATTTTTCAATTTACATGTAATTTGTTATTAAAATATTTTTGTTCGAATTTCAAATCTAACTTAATACACAATTATTCGTATCTGCTTATTCTTGTTCGTAAGTTACAACGAACAAACGAACGGACGAACTATGAGGAGAGCACGTGTTCCATTTTTGTTTCGATAAATGAGCGCTTCTAGGAAACGGTGTTCGACTTCCGCTTTGCTTTCTATTTCGTTTTAGTTTCTGTCAGACAAATTTGCGCTGTTCCTAAACAAGTCTCGCTTCAAAGAATATCAAAATTAATGAGAAATTCTTTATTCTATCTATAAACAAGTAGTTTCCTCCAGAAAGCAATTTTAGAAAGAGAACAGTAAAAGTAAGGATGCGTTACACCTAACATACAGTGAAAACGAAAAGGACAATTATTCTTCGTGACTTTATAAATTATCGCTAAAAGTTTGAATAAATTTATTTTACAGTTATGATTTTAATTTTCTTTAATTTTATATGGGTTTTAGAAACACCTTCACTAAATACGTAATATGTATAGTACGTAAAAAGACATTGAAAGGATACAACAATACTGCAGTAATCTGTACAAATACAATTCAAAAATATAGTTTTCATACTTTCAGTCTTGCTAGTTTTTTAAATTAATACAAACTGCTGATATGAAGTCGCACACAGTAGAATACAGATGATCAGACCAGTAGTCACAGAGTGAAATTTCACGTATATGGTCAGACACGCTATAATACAGATTACAATACAAATAATTAATTCTTTACTTTCATTTATTATTTGTTAGCGAACACCATTTACTCGATATTACCTACTTTCAAATAATTAATAAAATTAAAATAGCAGAGGTTACCATAGTAGATTTAATCAACCAATACAAACAAATCAATAACATTTAAAGTGCCTTTAAACAAGCTATTTTCCCGAAAATCTGTAAATAAAATATATTTAAAAAACTTGTAATAAGAGGTACTTTAACATATCATTTGTGTTCTTGTTTACCATAAGAAAGTTTATCGGTCGATTTCTATTTCGAATCGTAAACGCGTTAATATGCAAACATTGCGATAATAGCTGCCTATACACACAAATTTCTAACGAACGTCCACGGTAACGAAAGGGTTAATAAACTGTCAACAGAGGGAAAATTAAATTTAACAGAGGGATTTATTGTGTCAACACGTTCATTCGAAATTCGCGTTCATTGACACGTACAGAGGCGTGCGAAGTGTAGCGATTGTCGCGAAAACTCTTATCGCCCGTTCCATTTTTCGCGATTAACTCCGGTGTTGCTGAATTGTTAACACGTTGACTGACACAGTGAAAATGAACGTACGTGACGGAACTCTTTACATTGAATTATACAGGGGAGCCTAAGAGTCGTGGACAAAAAATCGATTTCCATAAACTGTTCTACCTTATGAATTTTGTTCTTCGAACAAGCAACAAATTTCCAACTGGATTTAAAATTATTCTTAAAATTCGTTACGATTAAAATTGTACCATATAAATTAGGGAAGGAGTGAAAATAAAACCAACTGTCAAGGCTATTTTTATAAATTTGTCTTTTATTTATAAAAATGCAGAAAGAAGTAAAAAATCCGGGAGTACATGTGAAGAAAAATTGATTCCACGATAAATTTTCAGTGATAAAACATAGAGGCGACGGTAATTTTGAAGTAGTTACCATTTTGAATTGCAGCGTTGCAGACGGAGCAAACCTAACGTAACCTAACCAGCCATATTAAATTTCAATTTGATGAATAAGTTGGTGATTCAATAATGGAAAATTGGAGGACTAAATACGCGATAGCGAACGTAAAAAACCGTGGTTTGCGCTCAATCTCGTTAACGAAATTATCGATCTCAAAGAAACATGTAATTACAAGGGATACGTGATATCGATACCCAGTATCCGACCCTTGGACTCAAAGTGACCGTGGCGAAGTTGCTTCTAACGAAATGAAGCCGGGAAATTGAATCTTCGAATATAACGTAGAATTGTGCCCGTACCTTCATAACAGTAATTACATTCGGAGGCAAACGAGTATGTCCGTCGAGTTTCGAACATCATCGGCCAGAAAATCCCGTTGAAATTTCATTAAAGCGAGAGCCATGACGCAACCGAAACTTCCGAGTTTTCTCTTGACCATGTGGCTACTCGGCACGATCGCGACTAAATCGAGAATGAACGACTTCCTGCAAAGTTTGCAAGAATACGAGATCGTCTATCCCCGGATAATCCCGAGCGGAAATTTGCGGAACAGAAGATCGACTTTGGAAAATAGAGCCACGAACGGGGACGAGGAACCGATGTTCCTTGAGATAAGCAACTGGACCTTGAGGACAACTTCGAACGATCGATTGATACTTTCGTCCAATTTCACGGTGGATTGGATGCGCTCGAATAAGATCGAACCAACGAGACACGCTGTCAAAATGGACTGTAATCTTCGACAAGGCAGTTTGGAAAGCGACAGGAGCTCTTTGGTCGTGGTTACGCTTTGCGAGCAGGACGTGTACGCTCTGATGTTGATAGATCGAAAATCGTTTCTTGTACAGCCTTTGGACGATGGCCAACACGTGATGTACCAGTCGAAGGACGCTGGATGGTGGTCCTCCAGGGAGAACCCTGATACCGTGTCCATCAGACGGGAAAATCCTACAGGTGATATGCTCGTATCTAATTCTTATCGCAGCGAACAGGAGATTACTTAATTACTTTGTTCATTGTGAGTCGGGTTCTTGTTTGGGAAAGGGGTGTGGACAATTTAGACATCGTGGAATTTGCATATTGGAAGGGTTGCGAATTTCAGAATTCGAGAACTTGGGAATTTGGTCGTTTGAGAAGTTGGAGATTTGGAAATTTGAAAGGATTGGGGAAGTTGAAGATTTGGAAATTTGGTGGAGAAATAGAAGGTTCCGAAAATTAGAGAAGTTGGAAAGTTCAGGAATTGGGAAGACTGAGAATTTAGAAATTTAGGAGTTTGGAAATTTGTGAACTCAAAAATTCTTAACTATATTGCGACATATTTTTATACGTTATATATTCACATTTTACATATTATATTTTTACATTTTTATATATTTAAAATAGACATATAAACATTCACAATTTACTAATAAATTATCGATGTAATCTTTAGTTATTTCAGTCAAGTCGAGTTAAATGAATTCTACAAAATTTTCAATTCTAGAAAAGTCAGAAGTTCGAGGAAGAAAAATGAGAACGAGAAGAAACTCTGCAAACCATTATTCTCAAGAGTTTTACAATTTATCTGGAGATGTGTTTGATATGGAGTATCCTGAAGCTGAAAAACTGATTATGTACGACGAAAGTGATAATATATCGTCAGAATATAACGATACGATAATGGAACAATTAACGGTCGATGCAAATTCGGAAGAAATTGATTACTTTTCTGGTTCTACGTGGCACAGGAGGAAAACATCGAGTAAGCAACACCTACTTCCAAGAATTACATAGAAAAGTAAAATTTGAGTATAAGAAATAAGTGTAGAAATAAAAAAATAAGTGCAGCTTATGTAAAAATAAGTACAGCGTTCAACTTTCTTCTTATTTCGAATTAAACGTTATCCGTTTCAATTACGTGACTTTCCATGTATATGTTACTGTGAAAGACCGAAATCTGGAGAATGTTGACATTCACCGGTGAATTCACATAGTCGCTTGGTGTATGTCCGAAATATTTGCTAAATACCCTTATTTCTGACTTACACCGGTAAATGTCGACATTCACCATGCACTAATGGTGAATGTTGAACATGTCAGAGATTTATATTTTCTTCTCCGTAATTCAGTCGCTATAAAACGTCACAAGGGTGACGTAACTTTTTCGCCTCTCTTTCTGAGAGGAGAGACCAAGAATTTAAAACACATAGTACATTCTAAGCATACGTGTTCTTTCTCCGTGGCCTATTCTGGCGCGAGTTTCATATAGTATACTGAACAATT